CTACTCGGGAGGCTGAGGCAGGAGAATGGCGTGAACCCAGGAGGCGGAGCTTGCAGTGAGCTGAGATCCGGCCACTGCACTCCAGCCTGGGCGACAGAGCGAGACTCCGTCTCAAAAAAAGAAAAAGTGGGGGCGTAGTGGGGGAATCAAGGAAGGAAGTAAAAAACCCCACCGGCTCCAGTACAGACATAAAAGCCAAACGTAAATCCTGTCCACCAGACACTAATGAGCACCCTCTAAACCGTAAACCCGTAGGACTCCTTGGTGGCATCTGTGACCTCCGCAAGTAACAAGGGCACTTTTTAACCCAATGACAAAGCCAGACGTGATCTCATCTGTGTGTAAAGTGAAGATCCTGTTATATAAAGGCACCGCCACGACAAGGTATGGCCAGCAACACAGTGACATTGTGAACCCTCGGCCATCAATGCTAGCACCACAATTGGCACTCAGCAAGCAGCTCCAGGTAATTTTTTTTTCTTTTTGAGACGGAATCTCCCTCTGTCGCCCAGGCTGGAGTGCAGTGGCGCGATCTCGTCTCGCTACAAGCTCCGCCTCCCGGGTTCACGCCATTCTCCTGCCTCAGCCTCCTGAGTAGCTGGGACTACCTGCGCCTGCCACTACGCCCGGGTAAGTTTTTGTATTTTTAGTAGAGACAGGGTTTCACCGTGTTAGCCAGGATGGTCTCGATCTCCTGACCTGTGATCCTGCCGCCTCGGCCTCCCAAAGTGCTGGGATTACAGGCGTGAGCCACCGCACCTGGCCAGCTCCAGGTAATTTTTAATGAGCAGAGGCAGGATGTCTGCGGGGCTTCCTAAAACCCAGCACCTGCTCGAGTATCTCCTGGGCATTTTTCCAGGGAGGTGTGTTAGGCTGAAGTCTTTATCATGCAAGCCAAAGATGTCGGAGGGGGTACTCGACTGCAAAGAAACAAAAAGGACGGAGACCATGAAGACTCTTTTGTGCAGTCAGAAAATTACTCATTTTGTGACACATTTATTGACCGGCACATATTCTGCCCAAATGCTCGCCTCTATGTGCGCTGGTCTGCGTAGTCTGGGTATGCCTGGGGCCATCGCTAGCTGGCATGTACTGTGATGTGCGGTGGCTGTGGGGGCAATGGTGGTGCAGAGCTAGGGGATGGGGGAACATGGCCATGGAGACAACAGGCTGTGCAGCCCCAGCAGCCACTAGGGTCACCGGCACCCAGAGATGGCAAAAGGGCAGCATGCCAGGCGCAGGAAGTCCTGTGGTCTCCATGGCAAGGGTACTGGGGGACGCTGTGGGAAGGGCCACCACAGGCCTGTAAGAATTCATCTGGGTGGGAGATCCGGGGACAGAGAGGAATGGCTGCGCTGCAGGCCCAGGGACAGCGGCCACCGGAGTGACGTGAGCCTGGCTGCCCTCTGACCACTCGCCGGCCGGCTGGGTCACTGGAGTGTTGTCACTTGCCATGGCGGGATCGGGCACCATCACAGGACTTGCTGGTAGAGCAGAGACACTTCTGATTTGGGTGTTGGGACCCACCGCTTCCTGGTGTTGCGGTGTGACCTGATCATTCTCATTCGGAGATGTGTGATCTTGTTGCTCAGTGTCTGCTGGTGCCAGACAGGATCCACCAGCTTCTGGCTTGTCCTCCTCCTGATGTCCTGGTGCAGACTTGACGCCCACTCTTCTCTTCATCCTCACGAGGAGGTGAGGGGAGTCTCTTTGAAAGTAGGGATGGCAGTAGAACTCTAACTATGAGTCAAAGTTTAAATAAAGAAAAGGAAACTGCAAGTCACAAGGATGAACTGCAACTCCCAACCATCTACGCCCCTGTGCAAGAGAACTCTACTGGCCCAGGAGGACTTTCTGGAAAAGGTCCCAGTCCCCAAAGGAAGCTGGGGACTCGCGTTCGCATCATCAAGGTTTACCAATTTGTGGCGGGCCTTTCCGTCTTGGAAAAAGCCTCAAAATGGCAGATTAGGGTGGCCACGGCCGGCGGAAAGGGTCTTTGAAGTTGCAGACCAGGAGGGAAGATGATTCTGGGCCTCCCCCACAGTGTCAGCTGGCAACAGAATGCACCCCGGCTGGGCTGGAGGTCCTGGGCACTGGCTCTTCCACAGCAGGGGCCCCACCTACCAAGGGCAGCAGGAGCGTCTGCACCTCCTGTGCCAGGCGCCCTTCAGCGCTTCAACTTGAGCACTTCTCCGACACCAGCTAGGGTGATAGTGGTACAAATACCAGACTCCCCTGGCCTGCTCACCTCACAGGGTAAAGCGCTATGGAGTCAGGGGGACACAGCAACCACCAGAGGACATGGCTGGTCCCGGGTAGGAGGACATGCAGATACGGCTACTTAGCACCTGTGATATTTTACACACTCCAGAGGGGCCGGCACCATCCTCAGCCCTCTCCCCACATTCACTCTTAGTTCATGTCACCTCCACCCAGAGGGAGACATAGGCCCACAGTGATGGCCCCACACCCTGCCTGAGGTCGCCCACTTCCCAGGAGGCAGTCCTGGGACTTCCACCTGACCGGGACCCAGAGCCCACAGACTTAACCCCTCCAGAGGCTTGTCGTTCATTACCTTATTCAAGATGGAGACCGGCCTTTGTGCGGGGAAAACGTGGGTGAGGGTCCTGAAAGAGCATTGACGCCGTTTTCGGAAGCCATACAAGTTTAGCTGGCGGAAGAAGCTCTTTATTGAATCCGTGGCAAACACTTTGTGTGCGACGTCCCTTTCGAGAATCTCCTTTTCAAAGAGTTTTTGATTGATCACTATAGAAGCCCCTCCTTCATCCCACCAGATGGATGAAAACTGATTGCTGCTGACCAGTCTCCACAGTTTCTGCGGAAAAGGGAGGGAGAGGAGATTGTCTTCTCCCTGGGGCGGGATGTCACCATCAGGGCGCGGCCTTCTGAACGAAGCCTCCTCGGCCAGAGCTTGGAAAGCGATTTCTTCTGTCAGCAGCCTGAAGTTAGGGCTCCCAGTGGACACTGGGTCATCCCAGGCAGGGGAAGGATCTGCTGGGTGAAGGTAGGTCTCTGAGTGCAACTGGGGAGGAAAAGGCACCCTGTCCAAGCCATGACCCTGTCCTCTCGAATTTCTTTCTTCACAGAGAGCCACACTCAGTGATGGCTTGTCCTCCATCTGGCAAACTTGCTAGTGCAGTGTGGCCAGCAGCACCCCTTGGCAGTCATGTAACCAGCCCCACGACATCACAAACGGGCTCTGACTGCTGGGGGGATGACATCTCCACAAACCCAGCAAGTTATGTAATAAAGGGCCAAGGCAGACAAGTAGCTGCCCATCTGCACGTGCACATTCTAGTCCTCACAGTCATTTCAATGGGAAAGACGACACTAGTACACAGGAGTGTCGAGGGGCCCTGCCACACCTTAGGTGTAGACCTGGAGCGGTCCCCTTGTCCCAGAGCTCCTGAGCCAGGCAGAACCACAGCAAAGCCCTGGCTCAGGAAGGTCAGAGCTCACCGTCTGAGTCATGAGCCCACAGACACCAGCACGACTGACCCTTTGAAGCACAGAATAAAGGGTAGGATGGTGCCCACGGGTCAGGCTGTAGCCACGCCCCCCTTTCTACCCTGTCCTAGCCAGCGGCAGCAATGTGCTCCATACAGATCCACCTAACACACCCCCACTGTCGGTCCCCAGCACGCAGATGCCCGAAGGCCACTTACGCAAATGGCTTAGCTGACTGCCCCACCAGCGTCGCCATGCAGTCCAGTGGCGAGTCGGAGGCTGCCTTCTTCCCGCCTCTCCTTGGCCTACATGTGTCCCCCCACCAAGCAGAGACACTCTTCTACACCCCGGGTCTCTGCGGTCACATCGTGGTGGGGCATGCAGCTGTTGGCCTTCGAGCATGTCTTGTTTTCCTTGGCCAGTGTCTCCAGAGAAACGCACGTGGGTTTGTGCCCAGAGGTCCATCTCTGCAACAGTTGTTCCTTTGGGATGTGATGCTAGGAGGTCACGGGAGCGGCGTCCCTCCAAAGCAGTGTCTGTGTCACACACTGTCCCCACACACAGGGCCACCTCTCTACAGATTCCCCTGACTCATTTCTGGGCAAAGAGCTCAGGGACCTTCCAGAGACTTCCACAAACCAGTGATGCCTCCACGCTTGAGACATCCTGACCCCAGGGCCCAAGACGCACTGGCTCAGGGGGTGACGGTGAGGGGTCTGCAAACAGACTGCTGATGCTGGTGTCTCGACCCGGCCGCTGCCAAGCTGTGTGACTTGGGCACGTCACTTCACCTCTCTCAGCCTCTGTCTCCTCCTGGGGATAAGAGTAGTAGCACCTGCTTCCCAGGGCTGTGAGGATCCAGTGGGACGAATAGGAACTAGCAAGGCACCTGGCAGTTGGGTCATAGCTACTGTTGTCACTTCACAAGGCATTTTCTTGAACAGCAAGTCGGAAATCTCATGAGCCTAAGGCAGAATCCACCTGTGGCCTCTGGTTACAACCCACAGGACTGAAAATCCTTCCAGCCACAGCAGCTGGTGGATTTCCTCGTCAATTGCCGCAAGTCATGAGCTCAACCCCACTTGAGTTTCAGTTCAGGCAGAACTCTAGAGACAGCTAGGGCTAGCTAGACAGCAATTGCAGAGCCTTTTGTTGCAGCATGAGCAGTCCTCAGCTGTTGACATGACTGGGGAGCAAACGAGGGCCAGCAGCAGTAAAAGGACAGTGTCTGCTGCAGACTGTCTTAGCACCCGAGGAACACTCCAGAAAGCCTCCTAAGCAGTAACAAGTGTGGCACGGTGTAGCCCAGCCAACAGTGGCATCTGCGCAGCGTCCCCTCCTTCCCGCTACCCCATATATCCCTGGGAGCTGTGCGCTCAAGGACTCATTCTAAAGGCTGTGTCCCAGCAGCCGCCAGCCTCACTCGGCTGCCTGTGCCAGCTGGAGATTTCTTTCCTCTGAGGCTGGCTGAGAGGGCCATTCCAGTTCCTGGGCCATCCAGCAAATAAGATACACATCGTGCACATGTAAAACGAGGAACCAGTTTATTGAACAGCTTAAGAGAGCAAAAATAGTGGCTTTCGCTACATTTTTTTACACACTGAGCAGGAAAGGCTAAACCATCCTGCTCCCCCGTACCCCAAAAAGAGCAGGCTTGCTGGAGGCCAGTGCCAGGGGCGGAGTCATGTTCGCAGCAGAGTTGAATTAACCCCAAGTATGCCGGCGAGCAGCTGGTCGTGTTAAAACGCCACACTCTTCTCCTGGCTGAGAAGATCAATACTCATTTTTTACCCTTTTTTCAGCATAGGACCTATTTGTTTTCGGGAAGGAGGATGTTAAACTTGTAGCCTCCGGCACACGGCGGAACCTGCAGTGCTTGGAGAAACGGCACGCACACGTGAAAACATCGTGCCTACCCCAAAGCGTTCTTGTTGCTGGCAGGAGGGAAGCCTGAGACTTTCCCAAGCATAATCGTGACCCGCGTGGCCATTTCTGCTCTCAGCAACATTCTCCAGTGTTCCGGCTTCAAGCAGCGCTTGTCAGGTTTTAGGCTAGCCACTATTCTGAGAACGTCAGAAAAGCATGGACCATCTCTTGCTTGGCTTTGCTGTTCTGGCAATAGCAGCTACTACGTACCTGCATGAGTTCCAGGGCAGAAGTGGCAATGTCCCAGGAAGGCATGGCACCCCACTGGGGCGGGGTGGGTGTGCCACGGGTGTCCACTTCTGCAGCAGAAGGCATGTGCCTACAGCACAAGCTTGTAAAAAAATACTTGAACAGAATATGCTGTACAGAACTAGGGGTTAACACCGCATATGAAGATGCTAAAACATTTGTATAAATACTCTGTATACAGGCATGGAGTCACTCCCGCAGAAAGGGCTCATCGGTGAGGCTATGAAAAAGTGCTGTCAGCATGCCCAAAGAGAAACTACTTCCACCGTAGGAACAGAAAAAAGGACTGTGCTGTGTCTAAACATGTGGTGCATCAGAGACATAGTTACAGTTCCTACTGACTGCGCCAGCTACGACCTGGGAGTGCTAAGGACCTGGGAGTGCTGAGCGAGCTGCAGGAGGTCAGCCCCGTAGAGAAACATTTCTAAACAACACTTTTGATTGGGATTTCAGCACCGTGTAGACAGATGTTCCTTTTGCGGACCTGGTAAGCAGCCATCCCCCGGTGGGTCTGACGAGGAAGAGGGGTACCTGGGGCCCCTCCCAGACAGATGGAAATCCCGCCCCTGTTCTCACACTCTTCCTGGCATCCACATCTGCTGGCACACACCCCTGTCACCTGCCACTTCCACGTCCCGTCGTGGTGAGTGGCTGATAGGCGCAGGATGCAAACAAGGCATGAGATGGACGTACCTGGAGACCCAGCTCCAGTACTGGTTCTGGTTTGTGGGCTGAACGAGGGGGCAGAGGAAGGTGGAGAGAGCGCGTCGCAGTCCACTTTAGCTCTGTCCCCGGAAGTGGCATCTAATCTGGCATTTCGATATTTAATTTGGGAGGTGGGAGCACATACTTCCCAGGGCTCTGGGTAATGACCACCCTGGCCTTCTTTCGAAACATGGGTGCGATTTTAGGAGGCTCCGGAACTGGGGTCTCTTCGGTTTCTTCATTATCTTCGTGATGGAGATCATAGGAAATATTTCCATATTCTCGTAGAAATGGGAAGATTTCAAGCAGAAACTGACAGAAATCTTTGTGGATACCAAACCACCCTGAAAAATAAGAATTTTTTGTTTCACACACGAGGCTCAACTGACCTTCCTGTTAACTTTCTTTCCATAACAAGAAGTTTCACTCCTACAACGTCATAATATACTTTATCCAGACTCCTGAGTCACAAAGCCTGAACAGGGCTTGAGTACCCAAAATGGGGGAGAAGTACAAATGCTAGCTCTGTGGTTGTCTGAGTGAGGTTCCCGGACTGGCAGGGACAGCGTCCCCGGGGTCTATTTAGGGATGCCGTTCTCGGGCCCCAGCCCAGACTTCCAGAAACTGAGTCGGGCTAGGGTGGACTCCAGCGGTCCCCTTTTTCTGGCCCTTTTGGGATTCTGCTGGGTGCCCAAGTTTGAGAACTACTGCTCCAGGGAGTCTCTACCTCCCAGGACTGCTGCGAGGATCGCTCAGGACGGAAAAGGTATGGTATGTTCACTATGGGGCCTGCTGCCACCGTTTATGACACAAACGCTCAGTGAGTCCTCAGTCCGTCTTCTTTTGGGTGACAGACAGCCCTGCATCTGGCTCCGCAGCCTCTACTCTTCCAGAGGCCCACCCTCTCACACTCGCTCAGGCTCCCCCAGGCTCTGCTGCCATCACAGCTTCCCAGGAAACGGGACACAGCTGTCACCCTGTGCACACACACAAGATCTCACCACAACAGACTCTCTTCACAGCCAACATTCCCACAACCTGCTGAGGGTACTTTGGCAACACAAATGGGAAAGGGCTCCCTGGAAAGTGTGGCTGCCTGGGCTCCTAAGGATCCCTAACCTCACCCCTACCAAGTTAGTGAACTTGACAGGTTGATGCTGGATACAGGTTGATGCTGGATACATAGGGCTGCCGGGTCCCTGCCTCCACGGCAAGGGTGCATTCCAAGTATGTTGCTGTCGTACCAGGTAGACCTTGTCTCATCCACACACAAGCCCAGAGGATGAGTTCTGGGGATGCCACTTGGCCAAGGCTCCCCTGTGACACGTCATCGCCCTCCTGGCCTGCCCCCTGGGACGACACTTCTCTGTTCTCCCTTTTTATTAATTATCATACAGCAGGAAAAGTGACTGTCTTCCTTTAGTGCGCGTTCCCTGAGTATTCACACAAGTGTAGATTCGCACAGCCATAGACAGGATGCGGAAGAAGTCTGTCACCCTGCAAAACTCTCTCGTGCTGTCCCTCCACTATCACACTGTCCCACCATTAGCCCCGGCAAACACTGATCTGTTCTCCGTCACTGTACTTTTGTCTCTGCTGGAACTTTATGTAGATGGCATCACAAGACAAGACTGTTGAGAGTAGCTTCCTGCCATCAACATAATGCCTCTGAGATTCATCCAAGTTGTTCCCTCCCTGTATCCACAGGTGGACCCTCTCATTGCTGAGTGGTATACCATTGTATGAATGCCTACAGTTTGTTTATCTGACTGTCCGCTGAGGGTGGCTTGTGAAAACCAAACAAGGATCCGCCATCCAAAATGGAATCAAGACTGCTACAAACACTGGTGTGTGGGTTTCTACAAGGCTGCGTGCTTTCACTTCTGTAGGGTAAATCTTATACCCAGGAGTGGGGCAGCCAAGTCGCATGGTAAGTGCGCTTTTAACTGCATGAGAGACTGTCAAACCATTTTCCACATTGCCTGTACCATCTGCCTTCCCTCCAGTAATGTTGGAGTGTCCCAGTTCCTCTGCATTCTCCCAGGCACGTGGCCTTGTTGGTGTTGTTGAGTTTCGTCATTCTGAAGCCACATGTGTCGGGCCCTCATCCTGGTTGCAGTTTGTCTTCCCTAACCTGTAATGGTGTTGAGCATCTTTTCCTAAGCTTTTTCACCATGTGTATATCCCCTTCACAAATTGTCAACTCTTTTGCCAATTTTTAAAGTAGGTGTTTCTTTTTGCAGTTTTGAGTTTTTAAGAGTTCTCTGTATGTTGTGGGTGCAAGTCAATGTTTTGATGTGTGCTTTGCAAACATTTTCTCCCAGTCTGTGGACTGTCTTTGTTTTATTTTATTTTTATTTTGAGAAAGTCCAAATTTATTTATTTATTTGGTTCTAGGACTGGGGCCTAGGAAATACAAGGTGAGATTAGCATTTTGTGGTGCCAGAAAATAAAGAAGTGCTTAAGAAATGATGCGGTATATAAAAAGGGCATAGGAACTTCCAAAGACTAAAAGGGCTCCCAAAAGCTGGAAAATTTGAGGAACAATATAAGTAATGATAGCATCGAATTATAAGCAATAGAATAAAATAACAATTTAGATTTTTCTCAGGTATAAGCATGGATTATCTCTTCATTTATTTAGATGTTTTCAAATTTTTCTGTCATATTTTGTAGTTTTCAGTATACAGGTCTTACAAATTTTTAACTAAATGCATTCCAAAGTACTTTATATTTTGCTATTCATAAAGCACGTGCTTTTTGTCATTTTCATGTGTTTGCTGTCAGTATAGAGATATAGTATTAATTTCTGTATATTAAAAGTGTATAACCGTGGTATATTCACTTATTAAATGCAGTTTTGCTTTTTTCTTTGTAGAATCCTTAGGATTTTTCAGACTGACCATCATGTTGTTTGTCGTAAAGACCATTGTATTTCTTCCTTTTAAATCATGTTTTTCGTTCCTTTCTCTTGCTGCATTGCAATAGTTTGAACCTCTAATAGAAAAAGTTGAGGAGAAGTATGATGTCTGTTATTTTTGCCTTGATTCTGACCTTAGATGGAAAGCATTCAGTGTTTCATCATTAAGCATATTCTTAGCTCTAGTTTTTTTTTTTTTGCAGATTTCCTTTAATGAATTGATAATGCTCATATATATTCTTAATTTGCTGAGAATCTTAAAAAATGAAATGTGTTGAAATTTTCAAATGATTCTCTGAATTTAATGGTCATTAGATCTTCTTTGTTCTTAGTGACTTTCTGTTTTTTTCTAATAATTATAGGAATCTTATATAGGTCCTAAATTTAGGTCTACATAAAGAAAGAATACCAGAGAAAAAATAAATAAAAGTAAAATAAAATGCTTTCTTATTCTTAACTGACCTAAAATGTAACTATTTAATTAAATTAATAATAGTAACAATGTATCAGACAATTAGTGTATATGGATAAACGAAATAAATGATTGTAATGGTAATGTTTCAAGCAATGCAACGAAGGAATTGAGTATACTCTTTTATAAGGTATCTATACTACATATGAAGCAGTATAGTGTTATTTTATGGCATGTTATTAAAATATATATTATAAACTCTAAGACAAAGACTAATTTCTTAAAAAAGATGTGTATTTTACGTGTACTGAATGCTCTATAAAGTGAAAGAAGACAGAAAAAGAAGAGGAATAAAGAAAAATTAAATACTTAGAAAACAGTTACATACATGGTAGATATTAATGCAATTATATTAATAATCACTTTAAGTTTGAATGGTCTAAATACACCAATAAAAGACAGATTGTCAGAATTAACAAAAAATAATACTGAGGAACATGTTGTCTATAAGAAACCCATTTTAAATTATAAGGACTCACATAAGTTCAATGTAAGGAGGTTGAAAAAGGTATTCTAACACTGACAAAAGAAAGCTGGAATAGCTACATTAATTTCATATTTAGAGTGTCTAAAGTTAAAAGAAACAGACAATATTAATTGCTGGCAAGGATGCTGAGCAAAGAGAATCACTCATTGCTGGTGGGAATGCAAATAGTACAGTCACTTTGGAAGACAGTTTGTGAGTTTCTTAAAAAGTTGAACATAGTATTACCATGTGATTCAGAGAACACACCCCTAGGTATTAACCCAAGTAATTTGAAATTTTATTTCTACACAAAATCTTGCACATAAATTTTATCATAGCTGATTTTATGACTGTCAATAATGGAATAAACTAAGTTGTTTTTCAGTAGGTGAATGGACAAACAAACTGTGGTACAACCACTTAATAGAACACTATTAATCAATAAAAAGAAATGAGCTATCAAGCTTTATTAGTCTGTTTTCATGCGGCTGATAAAGACATACCTGAGCCTGGGAAGAAAAAGAGCTTTTATTGGATTTACAGTTCCAGATGGCTGGGGAGGCCTCAGAATCATGGCAGGAGGCAAAAGGCACATCTTACATGGCAGTGGTAAGAGAAAAAAAATGAGGAAGAAGCAAAAGTGGAAACCCCTAATAAACCCATCAGATCTCATGAGACTTATTCACTATCACGAGAATAGCATGGGAAAGACCAGCCCCCATGATTTAATTACCTCCCCCTGGGCCCCTCCCACAACACATGGGAATTTTGGGAGACACAATTCAAGTTGAGATTTGGGTGGTGATACAGCCAAACCATATCACAAGCCATACAAAGACATGGATAAATATTAAATGCCTATCCCTAAGTGAAAGAAACCAGCCTGAAAAGTTTAAATAGTGTATAATGATACAATTTATTTGGTATTCTGGAAAAGGCAAAACTATAGAGACAGGAAAAAGATCAGTTGCTTCCAGGGGTTGGGTGGGTGAAGGGGAAGGATTGAATAGGGTAAGCACAGGGGATTTATTAGGGTGGTGAAGCTATCCCGTATGATACTGTAATGGTGAATATAACACTATGGATTTGTCAAAATGTTCACAATAATTGTGACCCCTAATGGATGCAAATATAAAAAAAAATTTAGAAGGTCTGAATATCCCAGGAAAGAATGGACAATATGACGAAACAGAATAACTATATTACAAACATATGAAACAACCTCTTTAATGAATATCAAGAGAAAAGGTGCTGGAATAAGTAACTGTGGAAGTGAGTAGAACCTGTAAGAATAAAGTTAGAAGGAACCCAACACTCCAGAAAAGAAGGGCCCTCCAGGATTCTGGCTGTTGCCGATTGTCAGTCCTAGGACAACCCTGGCAAGAGGCTGGATGTGGCACGCTCTCACTTCTGCAGTGGGATGAGAGTGGGGCTTCAGGGAGGTAAGGCCGTGGTCTGAAATGCAGAACTCGGATAATCAAGGGCTAGGTTTGGGATAGGAGTCAAATGAGTGTAAAACAGTGGTTTGAATGGAAAAACAGCTGGGAGGGAAGAGAATGAGTTGGTCTTTCACTCAAATTTCAAGATCTTTGAGCTGCATCCAGATGGGGAAGACTCTCGCACACCCAAATTAAATAATAGGCCATCTTGGAGGGAAATTTTACTAACTTTTATTCACAAAGCTTCAATTTTGACTAATTTGGTATTACATGTTCTATTGAGCTGCATATTCTCTGAGATATTTTAGATAACAACAGAAGTAATTCCCAAAGGATATTATAGTAAGATATGGTCTAAAAACAATATTTGAAAACTACCATTTATTAAATATTCAGTATACACCAGGCACTGTGTCAGTGTCAGGTGATTTAATACATTTCTTACATTACAACAGTCTTACAAAAAAATGATCTAGCAAACAGAGTCTTCTTGTCCCCTGTTCTTGGCTCTACGGGGACCTCATCACGGGTGGCTCTAAGTGGCAAGCTCACTTGTACCACAGGCAGGAAGTTAGGGAACCCCCAGAGAGATGAGGTCTTGGTGTAAAGGGCAGAGGTCTGCTCATCTCAGGGATTGGGAGTTGAGGAATGGCAGGCCCCAGCAGGAGTAAAGATAAATAACCCACAGGAGGACTTTGGAATCCCCGTCCCAGAAGCGACAGGGCCAGCCTCTAGCTGTGGTTGGGGAAGAGCCCCTGTAGGAAGGTGTGGGTCTTCTCCCAGAGGTCACTACAATCACAGGTGCCAGAGACCCCCAGGAAGCACCTAGCCTGGGGCCCGCAGCCATTCTCTGCAAGGAGTGCAGTTGGCAAATGCTCAGAGGTGACTGAAACAGAGCATCTCCTACCCATCACTTCATCAAAGATCTGGGAGCCAGGAGGAGGAGTCCCCTGAGCGAGAAGTGAAGGTTCACTCTCTCCACATAGAGGGGCCACAGAATCCAGCTCAGTCCCTCCTGTCAGCCCTGAAAGACCTTGGCAATGTTGTCCCCCGACCTCACACCTCACCCTCACTGCCACCTCAGGGAACTCAGAGTCAGAGACTTGGTCTGAGGAGAGGAGACACCATTGGCAGAGGACAGAGCTCCAGGCTCTGCAAGGAATCAAGGTCAGAAACCTGAGGGAGGACTCAGGCACCTCCATGACCCTCGACCACATCTACACCCCTGGCCACTACTCTTCTCCCCGCCCCGCCCCCACACAGGCAGAATCGAGTACTCTTCCCCCTGCCCTGACCTCAGTAGAATAGAGTACCGCCCCTGCTGTCAATCCGGGGAAGCTCCAGGCGTGGGGGCCGGATGTGACCTCCATTGGCTTCCGCCTCTGGGATCTGAGAGAAGCGAACGCGTCTTTCTGAGGGGTGTCTTGAGAGTGGCAGAGGGCAGCGGGCCCAGGCTCTGTGAGGAGGCAAGGTGAGAGCTGAAGGAGGACTGAGGAGTCCTCCTCCCCAGATAGAGGGCCCCAGATAATCCATTGCCAACCCTGGCGCCAGCCCTGAGACAAGGGGGGACCAAATTGTCAGGCTGAGACAATCCCCCACCTCAGTGCCCAAGGAGACTCTGGGAGTCGAATCTATGATGTGACCTGGGCAGAGACAGTTCCATAAAGGGTGGGGCCCCGGCCTTTCCAGACATCAACATCAGGACTCTGAGAAATTATGGAGAGGTTCCACCCCATGCTGATAGAGGGGCCCCAGAGTCCATCCTTGTCCCTGCAGTTAACGCAAAGGACCTCCCGGCTTGGTGCTGCGGACTTGCACATTAGGGGGTCAGAGAGAAGTGACAGCCAGGTTCTGAGGGGTGGCTTGTGATCCGCTGAGGGCAGCAGGCCCAGGCTCTGTGAGGAGGCAAGATGAGATGCTGAGGGAGGACTGAGGACACCCCCTCCCCAGATAGAGGACCCCAAATAATCCAACACCGCCTCTGCTGCCAGGCCTGGATCACCCCACGGGGACGGACTTCTCAGTCTGGGCCGTCCCCTCCGCCACCCCCCTCGGCTTCTGTACCCCGCTGCTTAAGCCTCAGGGGACTTTGGGGTCAGAGCTTGGTGTGACCAGGGCAGTGCTGGTTAGGAGAGGGCAGGGCCCAGGTTCTGCCAGGCATCAAGGTCAAGACCCTGAGGGAAGGCTGAGGCCCCACAGAGCCAGGCTCCCTCTCTGCTGTCAGCCCTGGGAAGTTCCTAGCATGGCCGCTAGGCATATGGTTTCTGATTTCCGCATCCTGGGCTGACGGAGGGAAGGAGCTTGGTATCATGAGAACGACTTAGAGGGAGCACAGACAGGGCCCAGTCCCTGCTGGGAGGCGAGGGAGGCCTGAGGGACAACTGAAGGGACCCAGCACCCCAGGACGGCTCTCCCCCACCCCCTGCCACCCCGCCGTCTCAGACTGAGGTGCCTCCTCATTCAGCCTTGAGAATCTGAGGAATGGAGACTCAGATCCGCAGAGAGGGTCTCGGGTGCAGCCCTGCCAGCATCAAGAGGAAGAAGAAGAAGGAGGACTCAGGACACCTTGGACTCCAGGTCAGTAGGGACCTTGGCCCTTGGAGTTCTAAGGCACAGTGGCCACATGTGGTGCATCCGCACTCTGCCTTTGTGGTGTCAAGAGAGGAGTGGGTTGTGGTCTGAGGAGTGGGGCCTCAGGTGAACCCAGTGGGGAGTCCCAGAGCACTGAGGGAGGACTCAGGCAACCAATTATCCCTGAGGTAGAAAACCTGCCCCTGCCATCAGTCGTTGGAGGCCCCAGGCAGGACTCTAGGAAAGAGAGGCAGCTGCCCACTTCCTAGTTGGAGTTCTCTGGGAGATGGTGGTCTTGGCCTGCAAAATTCATCCACAGTTCAGCAGGAGAGACATGGATAGGCCTTGTCAGGAGTAAATCTGAATACCTGGAGGACACCCAGAGAGAGGAGGCACCCCTGAATCTGCTCCATCTGTCACCCTTTGGCATCCCATGCAGGGGTGTCCGTGTAGTGCCCCTTCACTTTCTGCCTCCCACATCTCAGAGAGGTGGGGCCCTTGGCCTGAGGCGGGTCCTCAGGTCAGCAGAGGGATACACACCTGGTCAGCACAGGGTGGAGTCCAGGATCTACCAGTAGTCAAGGAGAGGAAAATTGATGAAGACTGAAGGTAAGAATGTACCCTCCCGCGTGCCAAAGAAAAAGGGACCTCACAAATCCCAGCTTCCCCCGTTTTCATCCCTGGGAGGCCCCAGGTAGGGGAGGCATGTGCCGTGCTCACAATTCTGCCACCAGGTTGGGGGTGGCACCTTGCTCATGGAGGTGAGCACCTTGTTTCAAGGGGGTGATGACAGGTCAGCAGGTGGAGCCACACCTGGTCAGCAGAGGGAGGAGTCCCAGGATCTTTAGGACTCAAGGTGTGTGTGTCCCCTTTGTGAGGACTGGAGGTATCTCCATCCCATAATGAAGGGATCCCACAGAGTCTCTCTATCCCCTGTGGTTGGCTGTATGGGGACCTGATCATGGGTGGCCCCAAGTGGCAAGCTCACTTGTACCACAGGCAGAAAGTTGGGAAACATTCAGGGAGATGAGGTCTTGGTGTAAAGGGATATGTCTGCTCATCTCAGGGGTTGGGAGTCAAGGAAGGACAGGCCCCGGCAGAAGTAAAGATGAAAAACCCACAGGAGGACTTTGGAATCCCCACCCCAGAACCGAAGGAGCCAGCTTCTGCTGTCAGCTCTGGACAACCACATGACGAGGTGATGGGACGTGGGGCCCCTTACTTCTGTTTTGGAATCTCGGGCAGGTGAGCACTATGTTCTCAGAGGACGACTTCCAGTCAACAGAAGGAGCCCCATCTGGTCTGCAAATACAGTGGTCCCAGGATCTGCCAAGAGTCCAGGTGAGAAACCTGAGGGAGGATTGAAGGTTGCCCCTGGCCAGAACACAGAGGAGGGCCACATAGAAATCTGCTCTGCCCCTGCTGTCTCCCCAGAGAGCATGGGCAGAACTATCTGCTGAGACCCCTCTCTTATACTGGGATCATTGGTCTCAGGGAGCAGAGGCATTGGTCTGAGAGGGCTGCAGTTAGGTCAGCAGCGGGAGGGTCCCAGGCATGACCAGAATCAAGGTGGGAGCTGACGGGACCGCACTTACCAAAAACATGGGACCCAGCCCTTTCCTGCCCCTTCTGTTTGCCATGGGAAGTCGCTGGGATCATGGGTGTTTCTGTTTCCCTGATTTCCTCTTCTGGTGTCTCCTGGAGGTAGAGTTGGGTTTAAGGAGATGGCCTCAGGTCAACAGAGGGAGGGTCCCAGGCCAAGATAGGCATCAAGATGGGGACCAAGCAGGCTCCTTACCCCAGGACACATGGACCCAGCTGACTGTCACCATCTCTTGCTGTCCTTCCTGGGTAGCCTTGTGTACATGTGGGCAGATGTGTATCCCCACATGTCCTCTTTCATATTAGGAAAGAGCTATGGATCTGAGAGTTTCTCAGGTCAGGAGAGGTGTGTCTTCCAGGCCCTGGCAGGAGAAAGTTGAGGGCCCTGAACACAGAGGGGACCATCCACTCCAAAAAAGTGAGAAACTCACAGAGTTTGGCCCACCTTTCTGACTGTGCTGGTGTGCCAGGATAGGTGCTTGCAGTGTGCAGCCTGAGGGCCCCATGATTCCTCTTCCAGAAGCTCCAAAAACCGAGCAGTGAGGCCTTGGTCTCAGGCAATGTCTTCAGGTCTCAGAACACAGGAAGCCCAGGCAGTGCCAGCAGTCTAGATGAGATGTTCACCCTCAACCTGCAAATGGCCCCACCTGCCCCAGTACACTGAGGGACCCCCCGCTTGCAGTCTCACCTGCCCTACCTCAGTCCTGGAGCCTCCTGCTCTGATGTCCAGCTGCATCTTGAGCAGCCTTCTCATTTCCTTTTTCAGGTTTTTAGAGAACAGGCCAACCAAGAGGACAGGAGCCCCAGGAGGACCCAGAGGATCACCGGAGGAGAAGTGTAAGTAGGCCTCTGTGAGATTCTCCATGGTTCATATCTCATCTGAGTCTGCTCTCACACTCCCTCTCTCCCCAGGCTGTGGGGCCCCATCACCCAGATCTTTCCCACAGTTTGGCCTGCTGACCTAACCGGAGTCATCATGCCTCTTGAGCAAAGGAGTCAGCACTGCAAGCCTGAGGAAGGCCTTCAGGCCCAAGAAGACAACCCGGGCTTGGTGGGTGGCGCACAGGCTCTCCAAGCTGAGGAGCAGGAGGCTGCCTCCTTCTCCTCTACTCTGAATGTGGGCACTCTAGAGGAGGTGCCTGCTACTGAGTCACCAAGTCCTCCCCAGAGTCCTCAGGGGGAGTCCTCCTCTCCCACTGCCATGGACTCCATCTTTGGGAGCCTATCTGATGAGGGCTCCAGCAGCCAAGAAGAGGAGGGGCCAAGTACTTCGCCCGACCTGATAGACCCTGAGTCCTTTTCCCAAGATATACTACATGACAAGATAATTGATTTGGTTCATTTATTGCTCCGCAAGTATCGAGTCAAGGGGCTGATCACAAAGGCAGAAATGCTGGGGAGTGTCATCAAAAATTATGAGGACTACTTTCCTGAGATATTTAGGGAAGCCTCTGAATGCATGCAACTGCTCTTTGGCATTGACGTGAAGGAAGTGGACCCCACTAGCCACTCCTATGTCCTTGTCACCTCCCTCAGCCTCTCTTATGATGGCATACAGGGTGATGAGCAGAGCATGCCCAAGTCTGGCCTCCTGATAATAGTCCTGGGTGTGATCTTCATGGAGGGGAACTGTGTCCCTGAAGAGGTTATGTGGGAAGTCCTGAGCATTATGGGGGTGTATGCTGGAAGGGAGCACTTCCTCTTTGGGGAGCCCAAGAAGCTCCTCACCCATGATTGGGTGCAGGAAAAGTACCTGGTGTACCGGCAGGTGCCCGGCACTGATCCTGCATGTTATGAGTTCCTGTGGGGTCCAAGGGCCCACGCTGAGACCAGCAAGATGAAAGTTCTTGAGTACATAGCCAATGCCAATGGGAGGGATCCCAGTTCTTACCCATCCCTGTATGAAGATGCTTTGAGAGAGGAGGAAGAGGGAGTCTGAGCATGAGATGCAACCAGGGCCAGTGGGCAGGGAAACGGGCCAATGCATGCTTCAGGGACACACCCAGCAGTTTCCCTGCCCTGTGTGAAATCAGTCCCATTCTTCCCTCTGTGTTTTATGGAGAAGTCAGTGTTATCAGTAGTAGAAGGCACAGTGAATGGAAGGGAACACATTGTATACCGCTTTTAGGTTTCTCTTCCATACGGTGACTTGGAGATTTCTTTTTGTGTCCTTTTGGTAATTTTCAAATAGTGTTCCTTTAATAAAAGTTTTAGGCCGGGCGCGGTGGCTCAAGCCTGTAATCCCAGCACTTTGGGAGGCCGAGACGGGCGGATCACTAGGTCAGGAGATCGAGACCATCCTGGCTAACACGGTGAAACCCCGTCTCTACTAAAAAATACAAAAAACTAGCCGGGCGAGGTGGCGGGCGCCTGTAGTCCCAGCTACTCAGGAGGCTGAGACAGGAGAATGGCCCGAACCCGGGAGGCGGAGCTTGCAGTGAGCTGAGATCCGGCCACTGCACTCCAGCCTGGGCGACAGAGCGAGACTCCGTCTCAAAAAAAAAAAAAAAAAAAAAAGTTTTAGTTAGCTTCAACATCTATGTATGTGGATGATGCTGACCACACATGTAGTTTTGCTTATCCATTTCAAGTGCAAGAGTTTGCCATTTTGTAAAACATTTTGGGAAATCTTCCATCTTGCTGTGATTTGCCATAGGTATTTTCTTGGAGAATGTAAGAACTTAGCAATAAAGTTGAACTGGTGTTGTGAAACAGAAATAAAAGGAGAAGGTCATTAATTCTTGTCTTATCCATGTTCATCTGTTGTTCTATGAAATTTTATCACACACACACACACACGTGTGTGTGTGTGTATGTGTGTGTATATATATACATATATATACATATATATACATATATATACATATACATATATACATATATATACATATATATATACATATATATATATCTCTCTCTCAAGCAAATGCAGTTTCCTATTGAGTTGCAGATTCTCTGAGATGTCCTGGACAATAAGAAATATTCCAAAGTAGAGAATGGTAGCACCTGGGGTCAGAGTAATACTAGAAATGGCTGTCAATCATTAAATATTCAATATATTCCAGACATTGTCCCCGGTGTTTTAATACATTTCCTACATTATAACAGTCCTACAAATAATGGTCTATCGAACCCATTTTCCAAATGAAGAACCTGAGTCTCATAGTGCTTGGTACCTTTCCCAAGGTCATATGGCTGAAAAATCATAAGGTTGGTCTGGGTCCATCTAGCTCCCATTCTATTCTCACTCTTCCCAGCCTGAAGTACACCTCTGTCCCTTAATTCATTTGTCTTCTCAGCACTGCATAATATCTCTCAAGTGGCCAAAAGAAGGACCCTGTGGACATGGTACTGAAAGCAGGCCTATAAAAGGAAGGTGACAATGAGAATGAAACATAATCTGGGGATAGTCTGTGGGCTTTATTAACCTAGAGTCCTCCTGCCTGAGCCCTAGGGTTCCTGAGAGCTGACTCCACCCAGGTGCAGGAATTTCTGTCCAGCCCTTGCACTTTCCCACATCATAGGGGCCTTCCCTTGTTCACCCCCATGTGCTTTCCCTTCCGATTGGAATATGAACTGCTGCCTGCTCCTCCCTGCTTGCTGTGGAGGCTGAGCAGAAACACCTTCCCTCCCATTTACACTTGCCGTCATCCGGTCTGTGTGTCTAAATGCACTCTCAAACTTTTCTAAATAGGGGGTGAGTGGAATGTGATCTAGCACATGATCTACTATTCTTAGATATAAAGTTAGAGAGAGACTTTTTGAAACCACCTTGATATTTGCAATGGGAATTTAATGGAATATTTTATTTGAAACTGGTCACTGAATACATACAAAGATGAATGAGCTTATCTTGGTGGTCAAAAACCAAGGTCTCCCTCATAAGCTGGAGATGAGGAAAGAACATGGAAATCACTGTGGAGTCAACATCTACTAAGGCTGAACTCCTAAAACCCCAGAGTTTCCCAGGAGGTGAAAAATGCTTCCTTGGTGGGCACACTAGTTTGGATTTATAAAGAACAATTAAACAAGTTTCTACTTTCTCTTGTCTAGTGCTTGCCCCACAGGAAAATATGGGCTTTCAGTGTGCCTAAAGACATCGACAGGTGTTCAGGTGTGTGGAAGGTAGCAGAAACTCACAGGTTAAGATTTTGACCAGGAATCCAATGGAGGAAAAATTTTACACCTATAAAGATTTTAGAGGTTATTTCAAAGTGCAGTGCAGAAAAGTGATATTGAGTGAAGAAAAGGGACCCTTTCTGCTGAGGTTTACAATACGCTTTGAAAATTAAGTGTCATCCTGCATTTGAAAGCACCTGTTACACAGGAGGCACTTGAAAAAGGTGGAAAATTTCCACGCAAATTAGGCTTTGTTCAGAAACTCCTCCAACAGACGAGGAGGAGGACTCTTGTTCTAATAAATATATTTGCTTTTAGTCGAGCATCTACTATGTAATGGCTTATGGGAGAGACTGCAACTCCTCATCCACATCTTGTCCTTTTCTCCATCTTGATCAAAGGGGGACAATACATTGCCAGCCCCCTATTCATTAGGAAGGGCCATGTGACGTCGCTTCCCCACTGAAACATGAGCAGACATATTATTGTCAGCCATTTCTATAGAAAATGCCTCAGGAGCTATGGATTGCTTCTCAAGCCATGGCTATACAGAACACTGACCACTCCATTTCTACACTCAAGGACTTAAGTTATATACACCTTTGTTTCCTCAGATTTGAAAAACCATATTTTGTGCTTTGTGCCCTGAGAAGCAGTGGATATCTTCAAAAGAGGTGCTCAAACACAGGATACCAACTACAGGAATTCCTTCTTGCTATCTGCAGCCTTCGTGCCCTTGAGGCACACCCATCAATTTGCTGAGAACTGTGACATGGATTCCCCATCAGCCTTGTTGTTTAGCACCTCGTCAACACTCTCTTGTACCTTTCCTGAGTCAGTCCAGCTTGGGGTTTTATCCTTGCTGTCTCTACTCACACAACCGCGCAGCCTAAGTTAGGAACTGGTGATGAATTTAACCACAAATATCTCTGTTTGAAATTCCCCAGTTAGGAATTTCCTTCCAAGATAGTTGTGATTTGGGTAAAAGGGGAGGAGATGATGAAGCCTTTTGGCAAGTCTCCTAGTGGTTGGTAAGTAATAACCACTGTGATGTGATGAGTGACAAATCACTATGATTAGGGGATACTATTCAAATAGTTCCCCATGTAATGCCTGGCTTTTGGTTAATGGATCACCTTAATGGGGTGACTATGAGGTTTTGCTTTCTAAGGTTGATCCAGAGAGGTGGGACTGGGGTGTCCTAGCAGAGACAGCTAGGGTCGTGGTATCCCTGAGACAGGCAGTTAAAACTAAAGGCTCTAGCAGATGATGGGGACAGTGAGCATCAGGACACTCCACAGTCTCCGGAATGCCCCCAAATCCACATTAGGATTTGGAAAAAGCTGGGTGTGAGAGAGCTTTGGGGTCCTGAGGTATTAGGCTGTGCTGAAGACCAGCCACCCCAGGACAAGTGTGAGGAGGAGTGCCTGCCAGATCCAGCTGTCCTGCCCTGGGCTGGCTGTGGGGAGAGGGACATGGGAGCAGAAGGAGGCTGAGGTGAGCTGGAACCCTGGACTACGTCATGAGCTGGGTGCTCCTGGGAATGGCCAGGGGCAGACTCTTGTGTGGCACTCCAGGACGGAAGCAAGGACATTGGTGGAAACAGCAACACCACATGTCGCTTATTGGACAGAGCAAAGGATTATGGAGAATGCTCACCTGTGTTTCCTAATGACTGCAGGGCTGCAGCAGCTAGGACGTTCCACACATCCCCACATCCTCTCCTGCAGGCATTTACAGGGTCCAGCATCCTCCACAGCAGCCTTCTATATGGACACACATCACACAGCACTGGGACAATTCTGAACATGGCAGGGCAAAGCAGATGGGAGTGTCCCTGTGCCCATCCGTGGATAGGTCTAGAGGGTTTCCAGGTCCCCCAAGCCTGCCCCCTGAGGGGCTGGTGAGAGGACTCTCAGTCATGGTCTCACTTCCCTGAGAAACCTCCCTGTTCCACCAGCCATGGCTAACCCCCTACTCTGAACTCCAGCCTCCTTGACAAGGGGCTGATCTCCCTCCTGGATCTTGCCAGCCCTTCTCTGTGACAATTACCCCTGGTAAGTGTTCTGCAGCCCTTCTTGAGCAAGTATGGGGTCCCAGAGCATCTAGCCTTATTAGGGGGCTCCTGCCACAGTCCAAGTGAGAGGAACTATGAGGCCAAATTAGGGCAGTGGTTGAAAGGCTGGAGATGAGGGATGGATTTCCGAGATATCGCACAGGGGGAAGAGGCTGGGCTTGTGGGCGAGTCCAGCTTAGAGGCTGCAGGGGAGGAAATGTCTGAGGACAACTCAGAAATGATTGGTTTCACACTTCCTAGTTCTCTGTGCTTGTGTATGGTTTCTTTTTTAAAAAAATTAAATTCATCACTCTGCAAAGTTTCCTTTTGTTATATCCATTTTTAAAATTTCATAGACTTTATTTATTTTGAGGTATTTTATACTTGAAAACAATTTTCAAAGATAGTACAGAGTTTCCATATGCCCCCTCCTTCAGTTTCAGGTTCCCCTATTGTTAACATCCTACATGAGTGTGGTACATTTGCTACAATTGTTGCATTATGTGTTACTAACTCATTCTTTATTGAGATTTATTTCATTTTTACCTAGTGTCCTTTTGGTCTTCCATGATCCCATCCAGGATGCCACATTATATTTAGTCATAAGGTCCCTTTAGATTCCTGTTGGGTGTGATACTTTCCTTGTTTTGGATGATCTTGATAGTTTTGAGGAGTATTTGAGTATTTGAGTCCGGTATTTTTTTTTCTTTTTTTCTTTTTTATTATTATACTTTAACTTCTAGGGTACATGTGCACAACGTGCAGGTTTGTTACATATGCATACATGTGCCATGTTGGTGTGCTGCACCCATTAACTCATCATTTACATTAAGTATATCTCCTAATGCTATCCCTCCCCACTACCTGCTCCCCACAATAGGACCCGGTGTGTGATGTTCCCCTTCCAGAGTCCAAGTGATCTCCTTGTTCAATTCCCACCTATGAGTGAGAACATGCCGTATTTGGTTTTCTGTTCTTGCAATAGTTTGCTGAGAATGATGGTTTCCAGCTGCATCCATGTCCCTACAAAGGACATGAACTCATCCTTTTTTATG